GATGTACGGATTGGTCCGAGAGGTTTATGTCATATGCCGCCAAAGAAGTTTATGTGAAGTCTGTGGTTCAAGCTATTCCGACATATGTCATAGGGATTTTTAAAATGACACAAGCTTATCAGAGACTTCTAGTGGGGTGACGAGGATGGACACCGTAGAGTGCACTGGATGGCTTGGGACCAAATGGTCAAACCAAAAAGAGGAGGGGGCATCGGTTTCCGAGACATGAAAATTTTCAACCAAGCTCTCCTTGCTAGACAGGGGTGGAGATTGATCCAATGACCAGATAGCCTTTGTGCCTGGGTGTTGAAATCAAAATACTACCCAAATGGGGAGCTCCTGGATACAGTTTTTGCGGTGGATGCTTCCCCAGTTTGGCGCAGTATTGAACATGGTCTTGAATTATTAAAGGAATGTCTTATTTGGAGAGTGGATAATGGAAGGAGGATCCAAATCCAAAGGGATCAATGGATGCCCAGGAAAGAGGGTTTGAAGATGACAAGCTTCATCACAAGATCAAGATTGAGATGGGCTAATCAATTGATGTTGGGGATGAGAGAATGTGAATGTCCCCCCTGATCCAACAACTGTTTTATCCTTGTGACGCGGAAGCCATATGCAACATAAAAATCCCTTCAGTTGAAGTCGAGGATTGTCTAGCATGGCACTACGAAAAATCAGGTAATTTCTCGGTCAGGAGTGGGTACAGACTGGCTACCATATTGCAACCACGGGACAATCCACCAACTTCAAGCTCCACTTGCGATGCTGATAACAGAAGTATTTGGGACCTTATTTGGAAAGCAAAAGTGCCAGCAAAGATCAGAGTCTTTGGGTGGAGAGTTGCTACTGGTACACTGGCTACGAAAAAGAATTAATGGAGACGAACCTTGGGGAAAGACAACACTTGCATCATCTGCGGGAATGGGGAAGAGGACGAATTCCACGCATTGATTTCTTGCACAAGGAGTAGAGCTCTGAGAAATGAAATGAGAGACATTTGGGGATTACCAAGTGAGTCTCAATTTCGGCATACGGGCAATGATTGGCTACAGAATTTATTGTTACCTTGCAATGTTGAGATTCGAGCTAAAATTATATTTCTGCTATGGCGATGCTGGCACTTGCGGGATGATTCTGTAAGGCATGGAGGAAAAGAATTGGTTGGTCATTCAGTAAAAATTATGGCAAAGTACAAAGAGGAATTCAGAAACCGTGGTACTGTAAGGAGGGATGGGGCCGAACAGATCTCCCTGATTGCTCGGGATGACAAGGTCGTGGTGGATTTGGACCTGCAGTCTGCCCATAGTGCTGATCTGGGAGTGACTGTACTTGGTCAGCATTTCCATGGTTCATGTCGTTGGAATCCACCTGCTAGGGGGGTAGTAAAGATCAATTCCGATGCTTCTTTCCTGATCTCCAATGGACAGAGCTGCGGTTCCTGAACTGAGAAGATCGTCCAGGTTCGAACCACTGGGCCTTTCCTGCAATGCTGCAGCATTTGATTCAGCCAGACACCAACACGATCCGACCAAGTGCTCAATCCCCGGTTGCGGTTGCAGCCCCCACGTCTGCACGCATGGAGCACAGGGCAGCAGCTGTTGGGACGACGACGCTAGTGCAGAGCCGCTGCTGCGCTCGTCAGGCGACGACACAACCAACGCCAGGTTGCACAGGCGACCCGCACCAGCGAAAAGCCTCCTCGATCACTTGCTGCCTGCCATCGACCACACCTCGTGGAGAAACATGGCATTACTGAGTGAAATCATGCCTGTGGCAGTACACAATTGCACAAAGGGATGGAGAACACCTGCATATATAGTTATTACAGTCTCTTCTCAATTAAACTGAATTAGTTCTTTGAAAAGACAAAACACATACATGCATATCTTCCCTCCATTCCTAAATATGTATACGACGTTTTGGTATTTCAATTGAACTACCAGAACATCATATATTTAGGAACGGAGGGAGTAGTAGTGGAAGACATACGAGGTGCCAGATCCACAATACTGAATTGTCCCTTGGCTCAGCCTTTGTAAATAAGGTGATCAAATTCTAGCATCCCCATATACATTGCTGGACAGATGATATAATCTTTCATACATGAGGTGCACGCCATCACCAGACATAATCACAAAACATAGCATATGACCGTGCCTCATGGTTCTTTTATTCAGAACTTCGACTACATGGTTATTTCTTCCTCATGGAGGCATCAAACACCATCAGAACTAAGCCAGAAGGTCATGGCAGGGCATGAAGGGTGGATTGCGCGTCCGCACCGCATCCGCAACCTTTAACGCATTCCATTTTGGATGGAAAGCAGGGGTCGGTTGAATCCGCGCAACAGAAGACATTTCCATACTTCGGGCATATGCAGATTTGATATTTGCTGCCGTCCATCTGACCAGTGGTTCGAGCTGCATAGAAATATGGGTGTTCAGGTCAGCCAGATCTCGAGAGAAACCTATATCAAATTTTGCAAGGCTTGTAGACTTGTAGTTGAGGCAGTTAGCTACCAAGTCATATTGATAAGAATAACACACAATTGACCCAAGTATGTGTTGCATACTTACCGTCTGACAGAGCTATGATGCATCCAAGCATCATCACAAGCGTGACCACCTTGTGTCCCTCCATCATAAACTTCAACGCAGAGAAAGAACTGTCGTGTCCGATAGTTGTTTGTGTTAGTCTCACAATCATAGATACTAGAATCAGATAGATGTACATTCAGCCACAAGTAGTTACGGTCTTCACACCAATTATTAAGTCTTTGCTAAAAGAACAGTTTTATGTTTAGAGCATCACACTAGCAGCCTATCCAGCTAAAGTTTCTTTTTTAACGGCGAATCCTCCTCCTAAGGCCTTGTACGATTGGCAGTTGCAAAGAGTTTAATCCTCTAGAGGGTCCAATCCCTACAGGTATTGGGTGAACCCCCTCCCTCCACCCAATCCGCTAACTAATTCCCACTAGACTCTTCCCCTAAAATCTCTGTTTACCCAGCAGCATTCGGCTAACCCCCTCAGCAGCAGCGGCCCATCAACATAAAACAGTGTCACAGAAGTATATAGCAGCATCGACTACAAAAAAGAAGTTTATAGTAGCAGCACATCGTACAACAGTAGGGCTGGAAAAAAAGCTCGAAGCTCGCGAGCTAAACGAGTAGCTCGTGACTCGGCTCGAATCGACTTGAACTCGAAGAATAACGAGTCGAGTCGAGCTTTAGTTTAAGATCATTTATAGACCAAGTTAAACGAGTCAATCTCACGAGTACTCGTGTAACTCGTTAGGCTTCGTACAAAAGATCAACCACTCCCAATCTAAAAAAAGATTAGCCACTCAGCACCATGCGTCCCACGCGCACAACACAAAGCCCATCCATGGAAGGCCCAGCCACCCAGGAGACTCATGCGTTACAAGGAAATTATAATTGATATTTGAGGGTTTTATGTTCATATATTTAACGAGCTTAACAAGCTAAACGAGCCAACTCGCGAGTTATACGAGTCGAGCCAATCTTGGGTTTGAGCTCGTTATAGTAACGAGTCGAGTCGAGCTAGCTCGTTAACAAAACGAGCTCTAGCGAGTCGAGCTGAGTTGGCTCGACTCGACTCGAATTCCAGCCCTATACAACAGGGACACAAGCACAATCCGGAACTGGACAAAGAGATAATTGTGTAGTCAATAGTTGTTTGTGTCCTGTCGTTCAACTGTCCGATAGTTGTTTGTGTTAGTCCCACAATCATAGATACTAGAATCAGATAGATGTACATTCGGTCACAAGTAATTAGGGTCTTCCTGCCAATTATTAAGTCTTTGCTAAAAAGAAATGTTCTATTTTTAGAGCGTCCATGCTAGCAGCCTACCCACACAAGGTTTTTTTTTTGGCGGTGAATCCTCCTCCTAAGGCCTTGTTCGGTTGGCTGTTGCTAAGGGTTTAATCCTCTAGAGGTTTCAATTCCTGCAGGTATTGGGTGAACCCCCTCCTCCACCCAATCCCCCCACTAATTACCACTAGACCCTTCCCCTAAAATCCCTGTTTACCCAGCAGCATTTGGTTAACCCCCTCAGCAGCAGCGACCCATCAATGTACAACAGCAGCAGAGAAGTATATAGCAGCATCGACTACAAAAAAGGCTTACAGTAGCAGCTCATCCTACAACAGGGGCACAGGCACAATGTGAAACTGGACAAAGAGAGAAAGGAAGTCCAGATCTATTCAAAGAAACAAAAAGAGTTCACCAGAGATCAATTGCCAAAAATAGTTGACATTGTTCAATGTCCAAAACACTTGTATCATGCAGAAATAATTTTCACCATACGTCAACAGACAACACCCAAAACAAGATCAATAATGGAGAGAAGAAGAAATGGCACACAGAAAATTTTTGTCCTAGCAAAACCTAACATTGCAATTGATTTCAATTGGAACATGCACCTCGTGGATGTTAGCACAATTCAACTGCCACGGACTGAAATTTTTGGGTGAAAACAATCGCAAAAATAAATGGAAAAATTGTGGATTCTCTTGAAAGCTTCATCAGCAAACATGTAAAATTGAGCAGCAAAGAACTGTAACCTTTTTACATCTCGAGCACATTCCGCAAGACTGAGCCATAGGAATATATACACATAGTAAGTTTTTTTTGAAACGGAGGCAAAAGATTTGCCTCATCGATTAATTAAGCAGAAGAGAATTGCTCAGTTAATTAACGGAAAACCGAGCGAAAACCGATACAAACTAACCATATGCGGATTACTCACAGAGCATACAACTCCAGAAGCGCACGATCAGCCCTACAAACAAACCCAACATGGAACGATCATCAACCTCCAAACTACTACATCGCAAACAAACCCCTAACAAGAGCACCTCCGCCGAAGTCCACAAACACCGCCAAATCCACATAGACAAACACAAACCAGACCATATGGACCGCCCAATAGACTGATGAATATCCATCAAGCAGCTGCAGACGCCTTTCCTGTGACGTCACTCAGTTTTGCTCCTGAGAGCCTTCTCCACAATCATCTTGCCAGATCCAGGGCTGACCGCCTCCAAACGTGCGAGCAAGCTGCTGACTTGTATCTCAAATAGAATCTCATCAACCTTATCCCTCACAGACACCACTGCATTAACATGCTCAGCCACGGGCACCACCGACACAATGGACTCAGGCGCCTTCAGTTGCACACATGGCAGAGGCAAACCCTGTAGTTGTGCCCCAGAGATAGGTGCCAACGCACCTACCTCATCAACCTCGCCACCCACAGACATCACCTGCCCCATCTCCTTCGGAAGCACCATTGAAAGAGGTGAAGTAGGCTCCCCACAACGCTCCTGCAACTCAGGCATAATCTCCAGCACTGGAGCCATGACCTTATCGATGACTACACACCCAGGGCCAGTGAGCAGTACAGACATCGGCGAACATGATGTAGCACGAGGGGAGAAATGTCCATAGAGGCTTGCTTCCTCCCCAACAGGAGACCCGATCTGAAGCTCAGGAAGTGAGGACACAGCTGGCACAACCTCTAGTTTGGCGAGAGCAGCCTCTGCTCTCCCCAAAACACTCTCAACTCGCGCAAGGCAGTCGCGCAGCTCAGTGCGAAGCAGCTCGGTCTCCTCCGCTAGGACGGGTTGCAATTGCACGTCAACCGGTGTTGCGTCAACCTCCGATGCAGGCGCTGGGTTAGGCTTTGCAGCATCATCACGCGGCTTTGTAGTCAGATCGGATCGGTGCTGAGCATGACAAAAACGCACTTTGTGGCCGAAACGAAGGCATCCTGAGCACCGAATTGGGTCCCTGCAAGAGTGAGCGTGATGACCTTTGGAGAGACACCGAAAGCATCGATCCCGGAGCCACGCCGGAGGAGCCATCCGGGCATTGGAACCGGGCCGACGGAAGGCATTTGAAGATGGCGAACGGCGGCGGCCGGTAACGAGGAAACATTGGGAGATACGCACAGTAAGTTGAACCATTGAAATACCTAAACAACTGCGTCAATTTTAAAATAATCACAATCATTTTATGCAATTTTTTCTACATTAATAACAGGTCAAGCAACATAAATCTAGAGAATCATTATTAAGAAAGCAACACTAGTTTTGGCCAACGACCCAATTACTAACACACAAATTGAACCACAAAAACATATTTTGTCATAGCAGAAAAAGGGGTAATAGGAAAAAACTATAACAATCTTGAAAAATAATTGCATACAAGTTAAGCCGATCCTCGCAGATTGACAGCCAGACCAAGGCGGTGAACCAAATCTCCCAGATCTACCAACCTGCAAGTGAAGAACACTTTCGGTGCGATTGTAAAAGCCCACATACACCACCAAATGGAGACCAGAAAAATTTAGTTCAATTCTGAACAGGGCGCACCAAATCCTCTAGTATAACCCAATTGCAAGAGGGAGGGGAACCCACCTGGTGATCTTGTCGCCGGGGGCTTCCTCTTCTCCGGAGTGAGGCGGCGGGGGAGATGGCACGAAGCGGGAGCTAGGGTTTCGGCCGGGCTACGTGGCAGGTCGTCGATGCTGGAAGCTTCACTCCGGAGAGTAGCCTACGCTGGGAGCTTCCCACCGGGGAGTCGCCGACGCCGTCCTCTCCGTCCCCGCCGCCGCCTTTGTCGCCTCGAAGTGGAGAGAAGAGAGAAGCACGAGAGTGAGACTGGGAAAGATTCCACGAGTTTTTTTTTCTTTCTGGCGACTGCGCGGCGCCGGTCGACCGGCCTAAATTTGGGGCGGTCGCTGCGCGAGCGTCGGATGCAGCCCCGCTTAACCCTTCGGATTAAACGCTAACTGCCCTGAAAAAAGTGAAACCCGTGCTTCCGATGCTTTCCGGTCACACAGGCCGCTTGGGTTATACCTGGCCATCCCTCGGGCCGGGCCTAACCAAGGCCGACGCAGAAAACCCAGGCCCGACCAAGGCGTCGGGCCTAGAAATCAGGCTCAAGCCCGGTCCGTTAGTGTAAAAGCCCACCGGGCCTCGGGCCGGGCCTCTCCGTTAAATCACAAATATGATGGGCCAGGCCCGGTCTTCGAGCTCAATATCTAGGCCTAGGCCTGGCCCATGAGCAATGTCGGGCTGGGTCGGGTCGGGCTGTCCGGGCCGGGCTGCCCATGGCCATGTATAGCTCGGGTCATCGCGCTCGCCTCGGCCGCTCATGCCACCTCGCTTGCCCGTTCATAGCCCTTCCTGTCGTCGGGCACTAGTGGGTTCCCAGCTTCAACTGCATCTTTCCAACGGCCGATTCCAGCTCGCGGTGACTATGGTTACAACATCCCATTATCACCGCCTTCAGGCTCGCAGCCGTCGGCACACATCACCATGTCCGAGCAAAAAAAAACAAAAAAATAGCAAAAAGCAAAACAGATAAGGATGAAGGAGTTAGCAATGCGTGAGCAGGCGCATGGCTTAAGGTGGGCATGAATTATCGTGCTTCGATCGTAAGGCACATGTGCGATCGACCCAGCGCTTGGGGTGGCAGGCCAATGTTAAACATTTTCCTTTCTTTTCTGAGAGAAGGAAAATTCCACGAGTGCGATCATTTTACCTCGCGTGGGTTGAAGGGATATATATAGGCCACGGAAAATTCACCGGGTCGGACGGGGTTAGGGCATCTAGACCGATAATTCTAAATGCACGGGGTTATACGGCATGTCACGGGCTCTTTCCCTAGCTAATCTCCCCTCCTAATTTTAGTGTGGGTGGGCCTCTCACCCTAATCTCTATCCAATCAAAAGATCCCAACTAGGACACTCCGTGAGTCCATGTAAAACAAAGCTCGTGTGTGTAGCATTGCTCCCTTTGGACACATCATTTTGAGAGAAAAATTATTCGCGGACTGGTTTGGACTCATCCGTGTAGAAAGCTAACCATCCAATGTTGTCCCCTACACGTTTGCCTCTGTTTTCCTAAAGTCTGCAACACTCATCTTCAATGAATAATAAATATTCAAAGATGACATTAGTTCAAATGTAGAATAGTTCAAACATAAAATCGATCCCTTGAAATTGGGAACGTGCTCTTTCGCACACTCCATGTCTACAAGGACGACCTGCATCATCGTCATTTCATTTGCATAATCCTCCTTATCGAATGATTCGCCAGACGACTCAACATGGTGCTCGTAGATGTACTCCATGTCAGAATCCATTTGTCAAAAGAAGGGACAAAATTGTTAAAAATTTAGCATGAAAGTTTCACAAACACTTGTCGGGTGTGGTAAAACCCACTCACGCCATCAACAAGGACGGATGGTACCTGCATGGTGGACATACGAGAGGTGCACAACGACGACATAGGCAAAGCGGCATGGCGACTAGGTGGAGCGGTGGAGGTCGTAGAGGCCCAACAAGGAGTTGGCGGGTGGCGGAGGTGGTACAGCGGTGGCAGCGGACGGGAGGAAGCAAATGCAGAGAAATGGGGAAGGGATGGAGACGCGGTGTACATGTGTGGTTTTGGGTGGGCTGGGGTGACAGAGTTTTATGTGGTTTGCAGAAAAATAAATGCGCGGACTGGTATGCGGACTAATGCAAGACGAGTTGGATGGCAAACTACGGTTGGACAACTCGGTCCAAACATTCGCAAACGATTTGAGGGTCCGTTTTAGAGATGCCCTTGTTGCCCGGCCGGGGCGATGAGGGGTCCTCTTTAGCGCCTTAAGCGCCACATAGCACCTCGACGCTCGCGCATTGTGCTAGCAGGCCAGGACCTACAATTGGCTCTTCTGGATCAGCTCGCCTCGCTCGCCCGCTGGCACTATTCACTCGTCTGCCTCACACGATTCGCTCCTTCACTAGCTAGTCTCTACTGACGAGCTGTTGGTTTCAACGAGAATTCAGATATGAGCTAATACAGGAAACAAATGCAGAGTTGATGGGCATCGTTGATGCTGCATGGAGTGTGAATGGTCACGATCGATCGGTCGAGAGTGTTAGCGCGAGATTGTCATCGCTTGTTATCAACCTGGGCAGATGGAGTAAGGATTCTTTTGGTAGTGTAAAAGGCAAAAAACACACGTTTTTTCTCCTACAAGCATCGATTTGGAAAAGGAAGAACTTGTTCAACAGTTCAAGGCCTTGCAAAAAATGGATGGTGATTTGACAGATGTTCTGGTCGAGATGCAGTCTATGGCACAAGAGTATTATAAAAGCCTATACACATATGAGGGAATTGAGGGGCTACAAGATGTTCTTGAGCGTGTACCGACCAAAGTGACACCCGAGATGAATGCCATCGTGATGTCCCCTTATCAAGGAGACAGTAAATAAAACACTTTTTCAGATTTTTTTCAACCAAGGCACCGGGTCTTGACGGATTTTCAGCTCATTTCTGCACCGCCATTGGGATGTTTGTGGAGATGCTATCACCTCGGCCGTGCTAAGTATAGTGCGAGGAGAAGAGAACGCAGAATGCATAAATGACACTATTCTTGTATTGATCCCTAAGGTATCAAATCCGACCTTGCTATCCCAGTTCCGCTTGATAAGTTTGTGCGATGTTTTCCATAAGATAGCTTCCAAAGTTCTTACCGGTCGTTTGAAGATGATCCTACCGGAAATAATATCAGAAGAACAACTAGTGTTTGTGCCTGGGAGACTAACTACCGGTAACATTATCTCAACATATGAATGTTTGCATTTCATGAAGATAAGTAGAGCCAAAACCAGCAGTCATTGTGCTTTCAAGATGGATATGATGAAGGCGTATGGTATGGTTGAGTGGGATTATCTCCAGGCCATCATGGAAATTTGGGTTTTGCCTCAGCTTGGTTTCAGTCATTATGGGCATGGTACGCTCGATGTATTTTCCAGTCCGTTTAGTGGGAGCAAACTGGAACAATTTAAACTCTCAGGGGGTATACAACAGGGAGATCCAATCTTTCCATATATTTTCTTGTTAGCAGCATAGGGCATTTCGTGCCTTTTAAAATTCCGTTCTCAGTCATCATAGCTCCTTGGAATCAAGGTGGCCTCATCGACTCCGTTGGTTAACCATATTTTATTTGCAAATGACAGCATGTTGTTTTCCAAGGCAAGTGTAAATGGAGTAGAGGAAGTTTCAAACTTGTTAGATACTTATTAAGGGGCTTCAGGATAAAGGATAAATTAAGATAAGTCATCCATATTCTCCAGCAAAGGTTGCCCTCAGATTGTTTGAGATGTTGTTAAGGAAAATCGTCATGTCCCAAATGAATCATTGAGTGGCAGATATCTAGGGATGCCCACCAACGCGGGGCATTCAAAGAAGGACACTTTCAAATATCTCAGTGATCGAGTTTGGGAGAAGGTAAAAGGTTGAATGGGCAAGTTGTTATCTACTATACCAGATTACTCTATGGCATGCTTTAATCCCTCCACGAGTCTTTCTGAGTACATAAATTCATTGATAGTGGAATTTTGGTGATGGTGGGAGGGGGGAGGGGGGTAAGCAAGGAGAAAGAAAGATTGTGAGTACATGAATTAAAAAAGGATTACAGATTTGAAAAATTGTTTGCAAATTTTTAAAAACTTTACAGATTCAAAGTCAGGAATTTGAAAAAATCTTGCGAATTCAAAAAAGTTCATGCATTTGAAATATATTCACAGATTTGAAAAAACTACATGTATTTAAAAAATCACGAATTTGAAAAATCTTTGTGAATTTAAAAGTGTTTGCTAATTTTTAGAACTAAAAAATTTGAAAAAAAATCTAGAAATTTGGAAAATCTCAAATTTGCAAAATGCTTATGATTTTTAAAAAGTTCATGATTTTGGAAAATAGGAAAAAAGGAAAAGATTAAATGGAATACGTGACAAAGTACTACTCCCCTCGTTCCAAAATATAGTGTTTCCTCTATTCCCGTGCTTCAACTTTGACCATAAATT